AAAACTTCTTCAGAAAAAGGACCTCCTGTGCAACCCTATTTTCTGTGGTCTCTTTAAAGGAACAGAGCAGAGGCAATCAGCAGGCCTTGAACCAGAACCAGCACATGCTCTGGAAATGTCTCAAATGAGCCTCTCGGAGTTAGAAGGTCCATTTAAATTGGTTTTGGGGTAGTTATTTACTGTTTCATGCAACAGACTTCTCAAACTTCTTGGAGATCAGGTGCTGGGAAGCATGTCTGATTGTTTTCAAGATGGGGTCTTTTATGGGCTGATGTATCCTGTTTCTCATGATGGTGAAATTGTCAGGAGAGGAGGTTTTTTGCAGTACTTCCTTTCCTGTTGGGAATGTAGAAACACAGAGGCAGATTGTACAAATATGGAAACACTGTTTTTTTGTCAGTCTGAACCTGCTGGTTCAGTTGTTTTAATGTTTTCTAGGCTAGAGAGTGAGAAGGATCAGGTAAAGTAGGTTTTCTTTTCTTCTTTGGCATTAGCTCTTTGTTGCCCAATTTCCCCTCTCTCTGCTGCCTTTAACTGTCAGGTGAAATGGTGGGAAGGTCATCTCATGGTTTACAACAGAATATTTTTTAAATCTTCTGGGCAGCTTCTGTAGGAGTGGTGTTGGCATGTCTGTTCCATTCTTCTCGGATTTCCTAACCAAAGTATAAGTTGTGGGTGGATGGCATGGGGTGGGAAATGGCAGACAGAAATAGCTCTCAGTGTTAGTAAGTGCACAGGCATCATGGTGGGCAGTAAGGGAGCTCAGAAGGGTCCTCTCAGAACAGGTCAGGCACTGCTGCAGGAAGGGCCTTAGACGTACCCGGAGAGTGGATGGGCTCACTGGGGTGTGCAGCACTGACGGTGCTGATCCTAGAGCACGCTATACACAGTTTTATCACGCTGTCCAAATCAAATGCCCAGCTAAAATTCATATTCTGAATTACACTGACAGCCACTTGCAGTGTAGTAATTTCAGATGTTTTGAATTTGTTGATTCCTAAAATTTTGCTGGCAGAAGAGTACAGCTTGGGGCTTCCAGGTTTATGGCATATCTTTTAAGCTTCTTTTTCACCAAGGTGATGAGAAACTTACCCTAGTGCACATGCCACAGAGCAGAGATGGTAACTCAAGAGAGCAAGTGAGCTGCTAAAAGATTGTGACTTAAGTACTTAATGACAGCTACCTCATATCACTTTCTCCTGAAAAAACTCCCTGTCACTCCATTCTTATTTGTTACCCCCTTACCTTTCCCCTCACCTTCTCCTGTACTGGCTTGCCATAAAATTTGAATTAGCGTCTTCTGTACCAAACCCTAATAATTTGGGTTAAATAATTAATTTTCAGTTTAAAATATAAGGTTTAGCTTTCCAAAATCCATGCTGTGCATTGTTCCACAGGGATGAGAGAAGCAAATATTTGTATTTGCTGAATTAACATGCCTTGTCATGTCGTGTACCAATATTTGGCAAAATAGCATAACTGATGCATTAATATTTGTACACAGGTACCCAGTCCCCCTCTCTTTTCTTCTTCCTATTTAGGGTCTTAAACAATCTCTTTAAAATAGGTGATCAGCTGATGAAAACCTCTAGTGTAAAGCAAAACACAAATGATAGTCAGAAGGACGTAAAAAAACAATCAAGTAATATCCCAGCTCATCACTGAGGGTTAGGGATTGAATGTTGTAGTAACAGTTTCTGGGAAAGCTGGTTGTCATTGTAAACTTTCTAGTTCCTTGGTTATAAATAAGCAGTGAAAAGAATACAACTTCAGCTATGTAAAGCCATTGCTCAGGAAGTATGTGTATGTTTTTTTAACGTGAAAAACCATCATGTCCAAAGGTGTAGGTAATTGTCCTTTCTGCCTCTGTTGAAATTAGAGAAGTTGTGAACACTTAGACAGGTTGAGGGTTTGTCCACTGTGCTCTCTACTGTCTTTCCCCTGTGCTAGAGCTCTGAACACAGTGCACCTCTTTGGTCCTTTTGGCAACTGTGAGTGGTGTGCGACAGAAGAGAAATGGTTGACTTGTTCCAAATATTGCTGCTCCCTGGTCTGCCATGTGTATTTGGTGGGTCCTTTCTGGCAAAGCGGTGCACAGGTCTTACAAAAGGAGTCAAAGGAAATCAATGTTCATGTTACAGGCTGCAATCTAGCAGAGGACAAGCGGGAAGGGAAGCATTGCCGTGAACCCCCTGCTCCCTATCTCACTTAGAGAAGAAATGGTGGGCAGCCAGGTGCACGGAGGACATCAGTGCAACCACAGCCTCAGATGTTTGAACATACCTTGGAACCCAAGTTCCTGTTTTTTCTAAGGGAGATGTTCCCTAAGGATGTTGGAGAGATGGAGACTATGGTTCTTGCCAACAACACAACAGCAGCACTCTAGTTCTTCATTTTGTGCTTTCCTTTTGTGTGTGTGTGTGAAAAGGAGGTTTAATTGTGTTTTGCATTCTTTCTAAAGTATTTTGAGAGCCTCGGGGAAATAATGCTAGGCAGGAGCAGTGCCATTACAGATAAGCTTCCAGATTATACACAGCTAGAGATGGCAAAAATAGCCCACAACTGGGACCACAACAAAGACTGGGGTAAGGAATGGTCAGGGAAAGACAGTGAAGTCCCTGGGGTTTAATGGCTGAGGAGGAAGTGATGTTGAGAGCGCTGATCACCCATAGTAATTAACTCCCAAGAAGTGCACAAGGATCATTATGGATCTTGCAAGGTATAACAAACAAGATGTAATTATGAAGTAGGATGATTCACTCTTTAAAATGATTATTAATCATGCTATGAACTGTGATGAAGATGAGCAGATATAAAGTATTAATTGCTATGTGATGGTTAATTAATATATCCTCAGGATGTGAGAGTCCTAATTAAAAAAAATTATATTCACTTCAGCAAGATTAATTCCAGGATAAGATACTACTAAGTATGAGCAAAGGCATTAAAATTCTGCCTGTCAAAAGCATGTTATTTAGTTCTGGTCCTGGATGAATTTGATCAGTGGAAGCTGATGGTATTCATCTGAGAGAGCTTACCATAAAAATGCTCTTATAAGTGTCCTGATCTTTTAGCCTGCTGATAGTCTGATGATGCTGAAGGGAACAGAAGTGTTTCTGTTGTCTGTAATATGAGGGACTGGGGCCTTGAGATCGGTAATTCAAAATGAATGAACACCAGTTTATATATTGCTGTACTCCAGAAACATTTTATCTCAACATTTCATTCTACCTGTAAAGCTCTTACAAAGTTTGTACCAACAACTATTTTTTTTCCAGCATAGTTGATATTGAGAAGTACAGTAAGGAAGCATCACTCCTTATGATAGGGGCTCAGCAGCCTGCCTTGGCTCTGTTCTGTAGTGTAGCACATACAGTGACCCTTCCCTTCCCTGCATGAGCAGTAGCACTGCTTTAAAACCTGTCCTGGATAGTGAAAACTAAATGCTTTTCCCTACGCAGGACTAAACTATGAGAAAACGTGAGCCACTGGAAACAAATTCTGTCTGCAGACTTGACCAGAGCAGGCAGCTGTAAAGACTGACTTTTAGAGTAACATGATCTTATTTCTATAGTGTAGTTTGGAAGTGCTGTAGTTTCACGTGTATCATTAAGAGGTTATTTGTGATGAAAAGCCCATAGTTTAGCAGTACTGCAGGCTACATACATGTGGTAGTATGAGAGGAAGTTTATTCCTGGAGCCCCTCTGCTTATACCTCTCCTCCCACCCCTCAAGCTCCTCAAACACCAGTTTTTTTTTTTTCTCCCTTTGTCCAGAACTCTTCCATGTCTGCTTCTGATAATGTGGGCATCATCCTAGCATTGTATGAAGTCTCACTTTTAAGTACCCAAACTTTTGAGGAGGTATTGTCTGAAATATGGGCTTTACAGCTGAAATATGATGTGGAAAGCTCAGAATCAGATTGCTTTTGAACAATCTGAGTCATGAGTAGGCAGTAGTGTCGGCTTTGGCTGGCCCCAAAGTTCTCAGATTTGTGCTGTCATCTTGGTACCATTTCAACAGTCTCCATCTGCATTACATACAAGCAGACAAATGTACCATTTGATTCCAGGTTTATAGTTTATTAAAATTCAAAACCTTCTGTTAGTAGAATTTATCAATTTAAAAAATATAAGACATTTACATATACATAGTTCTCTAGGGCAAGAAGTTCCTATGAGCTTGTGAAATACCGATTCCAGACATGGTTTGTTCTTGATTATTCAGAGAAAAGCAAAGGAAAAAGTAAAACAATTGTTTCAGGTTTGTCTCACATGAGGAGGAAACCGAAGTAACTTCACAGAAGTCAGTGGGTAGGATAAGTCTTCCCCATACAAGGCTGAATGGGGTTACATTCATAGAGTCTCACTGAATTACTCCAGGTCATCCCTTGGTGAGAGTATCCATACATCATTGTGGACTGAGCTAATAGTGCAATACTATGTATGAAAATAGAAGGCCCAAGGATCATCATCTGAATATTGCACTGATCAGGTGATAGCCTGAAGCATGAGATTAGTTCACTTCTAGATTATATGCATATAAGTAACCATTAAATTATTTAGCACCTTCTCAAACCCAGCACTCAATGCAGAGTATTCTGACCTCGATTAGGATGGAGGTCTACACTCACCCAGCCCTGTGGGAGGTCAACTTCTTCCCTACAGTATGTGAAACTATCTGCCACTCACCCTTAAATGCCATACTGGTCAGGACAGTAAGGATGAGAAGGTATCTGCATTCAGTTGTAAATAAATATTAGCAAGCATTTCAGAAAATAAACAATGTAACAGACTTCAGCTATAAAATGAAGAAGCCAGCAGAGGTTCAACCAGTGATGAACAGATTCTGGTGAGTTCATGTTTGTTCAGTAATGTAATTTTATTGCCAATTATTAAATAGGAATTAAAAGCAGATACTGAGGCTTTCTCCCCTATTACGTGCAGCACTGATGATGATGATTCCATTTAGTTGGTCTTAGATGCTTGTCTAGGACAGGATTATTTGCCTTTGGTGGTACGTTTTTGGTCTATTTTCTTCATAGCAGCCTGCACCCATCTCTGATCAGGGCTTACGCAGATCTTGATACCTTTTGTGGTAAGAAACCTATAGGAAGAAAGCAAGCAAACCAGGTGGCCATTAAATTCCAGTCTCCAAACCCAGGTTTACTATTCTTGGGTTTTATGCAGAACATGAACAAGGCTGTAAAACCACCGTATCACATGCCAGAATTTGCAGATGTTAGTTGGAATAACAGCAGTTTGCAACATTAGTTCCCTATTTATGGCACAGGTATGCATGTAACATACATGGTCATGTGCATATACACTGACATTTAAAAAAAGGAGCATACCTAGTATTCTGAGATTTTGTATGAAATCATGATTGCACATTTACCTCCCAGAAACAGATCCCAGATTTGATAACAATTGCATGCTCGTGAGATCAAAAGACCAAACACAGCTCCTAGCAGGAGTTACAGTTACCCCAAACTCTTCTACATTATTATTCTTCTTGGCTCAGTTCAGTGCACTGGGCTTCTTACTGCTCCACCCTGACCCCTCGCTGAGATTTTTCCCTACTTTCTGGGCACTAAAGGTCTGGCAGTTCAGTGAGATTTCTGCCAGTGTTTTTGAGCAGCATACATCTGCCAGCTCTCTGAGGCCCACTCCTCTCCCCTCACTCCCACCAGGTGACTGCTCCATGGGGGAACTGGAAGGGTGACCTAAACTAACCAGATTTAGTGACTTGGGCCATGAAGTGTCTTCTGATGCCCTTTCCATTTTTGATGGTAGCGTGTTTTGTATAGACAAGTCTGAAGGTGAACTGTGCACTGGGTACTTACATGATGGCATTTACTGGAACTTGTTGCTTTTCATAGCTGATAAGGTTTCGGATGTTCAGTTGCTGTGTAGACAGATTCACACAACGGAATTTGCGCATGGACTGACTTCCAATGCTCCCTAGAAGGGGAAAAATAGATAAATGAAAAAGTCAATGCTGTATTCATATTTAGCCATAATTACTTAATAAATTATGAATTTCAGCAGATTTCCAGTTGTGGTTAGGAGTCTCAGATGTACAGCCACAATACCAGTTACACAAGAGAGCTTAAGGTATTTTTTGTGATGCATCCTATCATCTCTAAAGTGTTGTTGCTATTCAGTTAAGATACTAATCTTCACCCATTCTCCTGAACAGTTGTATAATCATTCTGCCCCTAGGGAGTCACTGCTTCCATAGCAGAAAAGGTATTTGGCATAATTCATAATTAGGTCTGTATCATCTGCAGGTAAGTGTCCATACAGAGTAGTGCTTGGAACCAGGTCCTTTACTGTGTGGATTTCCAAATGCCGTCTGAACGTGGATTAGTAATTGCCCCTACTTTCCAAGTGAAGGAAAGGAAAGCCAGGCTACTTGTCTCACACTGGACATCCAAAACTAGCATTAAAAAAAAATTGTTGAAAGAAAAGGAGGTATATCTGCCAGAAGACTAAGTACTTACATACTCTTGCTATAAGTCTGGTTTCATAGGCAATGGAGTGCTACTTAATCCTCTCTTCCCTCCAACATTTTCATACATTTCAGGGAAATGCACTGGTGATTAATACAGAGGATCGTGACACCGGTGTAAAATTCTCTGGGCAATTACCTTACATGATGATAACTAAAAATGGGAGCTCATTTAAGTGAGATGGGAGTATACATATACATTACTGGAAGCCTTCGCTTGCTAGTTTCTGGTTTTCTCCCACCCATCAGAGACAGGTTTGTGAAAGCATGAGGGGTACAAACAGAACACTGCTGTATTCTGAGGTTTCTTTTTAAAGAATTTATAGAGATACTGGCTTGAGAAAAGTCCAAGAGCTGTTCAGGTACAACTTGCTAAATATAAAACCTGCTTCGCGTAATCTCATTATCTGTAAGCTTTTCTTTGTATGAAATAATTAGAATAGCTGAGGCAAAAACATATCAGCCTTTGGAGAAGCTGTAGCATAGCCAGCGCATGGGTACTGCCAGAGCTGCTAATTCTTGAGATTTTGTTTGCCTGAAGGAATATCTCTTCTGATCTTACTTTAGTGATGAGTAATGCGATGTATTTTTGATGATTCATTCCAAATATGTATCTTACTGCCTCAGACTGGTTTTCAAAATGTGGCATTAAAGAGCTCAAAGATTGTCAAGCAATCCTTACTAGTCCTGGAAATATTCTTTCTACTACTAAGCTATCTCCAGGGAATGCATGCAGGGAATACCAACAGAGCTTCTCTAAGCCTGGGAACAAAACCAAATTGCTCTGCACCTATAACCACCCTTTTTTTTGGTGTGTTTTTTTTTTTTTTTCTTTTTCGTTCTTCTTTCTAATCCTTTTCCTATTTCTTGCACACCACCTCAGTGTGCTTTTTCAGACTTGGTGATATTTATGGCAAATTATACAACCCAGAGAATGACATTATGAACAGTAGTCTGTGATACAAAGCCACATGTTGCTGAGATGAACAGCAGTAGTGTTAATCAATGCACGAGAATGTAGTATGACCCAGCTCGAAGGGCACTAGGTTAACATACTTGGTGTGTAGCTACATAATCTTGTGAACGCTTAGCAGGTCTCAGTTTGGTTTTGGTGTGGTTTTGTGAAGATGTCTTTTCTGTGTGTTTCTCTTTGCATATTTTTGTGGGTGTGCATATGGCTTGCACATAAGTGTTTTCTGTGATTTTTATGTGCTTGTTTGCGTGAATCTGATTGTGTATAAGATGACACGTGCGTACGTGTGTATGTTCATGTTTTCGCATGATACGCGTAGCCTAATCCAAAAGTCACAGACCTAAATACCACTGTAGACGAACTTGTTTGAAGTATGGCTAATAAACATGGCTCATCTCAGTGCTCATAAACGGTCTCAAACAAGATGTTAGATTGTGTGAAATCAGGAAGAGAGAGAAGATGTTGTATAAATTCATTGCTCTCATTTGCAGTTTTTGTTCATAGTTTGCCTGTTTGTACCAAAATATTTTGCTAGAAACATCAAATAGGCAATATGTGATACAGAACTGGAAGAACTTTTAAAAACAGGGACATTAGAGTGGTTAAGGCTATATAGTTAGAGAAAGACAAATAAAAACCAGTGTAATAAAAATACATATAAAATAATATATCTGGAAAAAGTACATCTTATTCAAGATGTATTTTTCATAAAATGTTATTAACCTATAGAACTTATTGCTATATGGCATCAGTGAGATTAAAAGACATTGTGTCTTCAAGATTTCATGATTTTAAGAGAGAGAATAATGCACAGAAACCCTTTAAATGTTCTAAGGCACAGAAACACTCATTGCATTCAGGCAGAAACCAACCACTAATTGACAGGACATCAGATGAAATCTCCTATAAAGCTGCCTTTCTTGCAGTTCTGATCTGTGTTTCTTGCAAGTTTTATCATATGAATCAGCTCTGGCTGAGAATGAATGCTGCTCATCAGACTACTGCTGCAATGTGGAGCAATTCCTGTCTTCCTCTTGGGTTGTCAACTTACCTTTCGCTGTGTGCACAGTGAAGATGCCAAGCCAGAAGACAAGGAGGATAGCTGCAGCGTGGAGTTTCATTGCTGGTGGCTTCTTTGTCAAGGCAGAGAAGAAAGTGGCTATTGTCAGCCCTCTTTCACAGAGTTTATATATTGTCATTCAGTGGTCAGTTCTTGTGTTCACTTTTGGGGCGTCATGGGGGGGCTGACTATAAGTGGAAAAAATGAAGTGGCAGTACTTTTTCTGGTGACAGAACCACCTCCTTTCTCCCACCCGTCCTTCACTAGCCCCCCTGTGAAGGCTTTTCCTGCTCAAACCCTGCTGTGGTTGCACTTGCTTCTGTGCTGTGAGTAGGGTTTATTTCAAGCTGCAAAAAGTGAGAGCTCTCGTTCTGTAGTGGAAACCTTTAATAAATGTTCCTGTCCTTTCACATCTCAATTTAGAGAGCTGTAGCTAAGCCGCACTGCAGAGGCACGGAGTAACTTTCAGAGTTACCTCTTTGACCAATGGACCACTTAAAAGGGGAACTGTGAGCTAAAGGATGATGGAAACAGGAACGCCTTGGCTTTTTCCATAGTGGCTGTAGATAGTTGGTCACTTTAACATATAGCTTTGGAGGGGTATCACTCTTATTTCCTATGTGTGGTCGAGCTTGTCAAAACTCTTCTGTTTTTTCCATGATTTGATATGGCCAAAGCTGATATCACTACGTGGTGGGAGATCAAAGAGTGAATGCACTTTTACATACAGAGCCAGATCCAGTAGCCCTCCTGCCAGTCAGGCATAACTAAAACACCAATGGTTTCAAAGAGGAATAAGAGTTTATAAAGGTTTTGTTTTGCTTTGGTGTTTTTTCTGTTGTTGGTGGTGTAATCTTTCTAGTATAAAGAACGGAGCCCAAGAAAGTAACCAGACCATCAGAGAGGCACAATTTATAGGAAAAGAAAAAAGTTTATTGCACTTCCATGTAAACATGGTGTTGATAACAGATCCATCAAGTTGTTCCAACTGTACCTCTAGCAAAAGTGTCCTTTTTTGCGGTCTGTGCTTGTCCTGTTACACAGTTTTAGGTGTCCTTTCTATGTTGTGGTAAGGTTGTCTGAGTTACTGGACAGCATTGCTACATACCAGGAGTTTTGTGCCTGCAAATATTTTACAAGCAAGCTGTGGACCTCCAGGCCACACACGAAGCAGCACCTGAGCTGGCATCATCGTCCAGAGCCTCTGAGCAGAAATTTCCTCTTGTGCGTTACACTCTGGAGCCCGGTAGAAAAAGCCAGGCTTTGCTAGGCCCACGGAGACCCAGCTGGGCCTGGTGTGAGTAGGTAAGCACCAGGCTGCCTGATGGCTGCGATCGTGAGGCAGTGGTGTAGAACGGCTGTCGGTGCAAAGCCTGGAGCAAGCATCCATTCATGCGAGTCTGAAGCTTCCCCTGCTCTTACTTCCAGGCCTACACCTCAGCTGGTTACTTCTAGTTTTCCAAATTCTTGATAACATCAATGTAAATTGCTTTGCTTGAGGAAGCACAGCATGTGGAAGTCAATTCCCTAAGATTTCTCAGGCAAATTGAGCTAAGAACTGAGCTCAAATACTGACTCCTAGGCTGTAATGGCTGATCCGTAACCTCAGGAAGAGTCTGTAGGTCTTGCAGGTAGACAACACACTGCTTCGTTTACCTGTATGTACACGCATGTTCTTTGTTCCTTTTCGTTTGAGTCTTTCATCTTATGTCTGCCATGCAACCCAGGGAAAAACAATGGCAAAAGTAGGCAGTAAGCAGGTGTAGGGTACTTGCTGCTTTACTTGAATGCCTGTTAAACCCACTTGCAACACTAATGAAGTTGCAACGAAATGGAAGCCAAAGCTTAAACCAGAGCCCCTAAAGCACATGCCTGATGCCACACAGGGGAGTAACCGTACTGACCTCAGCAGAACTACTGGGAAATCTATGTTAAGTTTGTGTCCAAGCAGCATAGCAGCCTGGTGTTTTGCTGAACGCTGCCTGAAATCACTCCTCGAATGAGATATTCTGCCTTTTTGGAACTTGTCAGTTTTGAGACACAAGATAGCAACTTTGTCATTGATGGCAGAGAGAAGTTTTCTCCCCATTAAGAGAGAAGATGTTCCCCCACTTCTGCTCACTGATACGGTTATGTACGTGTATGTATATACTCACTGTCTACAGCTTTAAGAGGAAGGTTCACCAGCTGTATTGAGCATGAGCCAGCTCAGAAAAAGTCAGTCTTTCCCACAGAATTGTCTGCAGGTTGTAGATTCATCCCTGAGGTGTTGTTAGAAAGCCTTTTGCTTCTTTAGTTTTCCACCATTCTTAAAGTGGGATGGAAAAATTGCCCTGTGGCAAGTTTTCCCCCTCTTTGAGGTTCCCATTTACTGTGGCCTCCTGGGCTGTCGTTCTGTGCAGCTGGCTTATGTCCTGTGAAGTCTATGCTTTGGAGAAGAGTTTTGTGAGCTGGAGTCCCACAGCCCTGTCTGTGGATATTTGGTGATCTTTGATGTCCTAATGTTGTATAAGGCTCACTTTGCACGTACTCTTAAAACCAGTGTGCGAAGCCTTTGTGCTGTGGCAAAAGGTTAGTGCAAGATGATCAGATGTATAGTCTTTCTGTTTTCTTGCTGGTAATTCATATTAAAAAGACAGCTAATAAGTGCCTGAAGTACTTTTCCTGTTACTGCTGCTCAGCTCTGGACAAGCTGAATGCTAACGATACTTGTCCTGGGGCTTGACTGCCTTTTTCATGGCTCACTCATCACAGCACGTTCAAAGCACTCTGGAGTAAAATGATCATTTGTAGCTTGTGATATAGCCACAGACAAAACGGATGGTGTGATTAGGGAGTTCTCTAGTAGTTTTTTAAGGCTGAATTGTGGATAAAGATGACTAACTTTACCACGATGCTTCCCAAACCCTTGGCTACAGGTACGATGTTGTGTGCGCCATGAGAGCCGCCCCTTCTCCTCCCCTCTACATCTCATGTTTAACACATGCATGCTTTGCTGAGGGAACACAGGTGCAGACAGTGGATACTGCAGGTACGGGTGTGTACATGTATCAGTATTTAACCTTTGGAGCCTACTCACATCCAGAAAATGACAAGCTTTGAGTTAGTCTCCTAGGCTTCTTGTATGACGTGGGGAGAGACTGGGACAGACAGCCCTGGGAGAGGACAGCAGCAGCAAGCTGCTGCTCGAGGAGTTCACGGGCTTGCCGAAGTCCTTCAGCCCCCGTTCATGGAGAGCAGCCTCACCTCCATTTTACCAGTACAGCCCCTGGGGCATGGAGGGGTGAAGGGACACGTGAGACTGCTCTTGCATAGCGGGAGGCACAGTCAGGACCCACTCTAGCACAGCTCCTAACCAACTGCTGCATGCAATAGTTTTCTTAATTTTTAACAATGTCAAGAAATTTTTACTGAAATATTTGTTGTATATACCCTGTTTCATGTCAGCAACCTTGCCGAAGGAAAAGAAATATGCAGTGAGCAGAGTGTTGGGCCTAATAGCAGAGTTTACTTACCAAGGTAAACAGTCTGAATTATTGTATCTTCTCATACTGTAGTTAGCTTTCAAAAAAGAGAGGCCAAGATCTTCACAAATAAGTAAATTCTTATGTGCTCCTAGAAATGAGCATCTTTAGTGAATGTTCAGCAGCCGCTTGAACTTGAAGATGTGCCAGCAGATCACTATTGCTTTTGAAGACTAAATCAGGGCATTCAGTAACTTTAAGAGGGGAACCTAAGAACCTCAGCTTAGACGCATCTGTATCTCAGACAACTGTTTCTGGGTGGGAGATGTCACCCTCGAGAAATACGTGTCTGTCTCTATGATTTACAGAAGAAGTATACACGTGTATCTTATGCCGGACATGGTAAGTGAGCAAAGTTAGGTGGGATAAATCTGACCCTAATGTATTTTGGTTTTGCATTGTTTCTTAACAGTTGGAGTACTGGTTTAAGAATTAGTAGCAAGTGACATCCAGCTGTGATATTTATGTGCCTTTCCTTCCCCCCCTTCTTCCTGTGCTTTTCATCACTTTTGCTCTGTAGATTTCATGCCGATTGCGTGGGTACCTCAAACAGCAGTTTATGGCCAGTCTTTTTCATTCATAGTGCAGTGGAGCAGAAACACACGCTCAGTGCTCACATCTCAGCTGAGACAATAACTTTTAATCTAATTTGATCACTTAAATCACATTTTTAATAATCACTCTGTTTTGCTGGTTTTGGCAGAACTCCTCCTTTAGAAATGTAACCCTGTTAACAATACTTTCTCTTAATCCTAATGGAGTTTTTGCTTGTAGACCATCTGTTTCCACTACCATACTGCCAGCTTCTCCCTCGTCCTGCTAACATTCTCCTCCCTTGAGGTATCATGTGCTCTTAAATAAGCTAGTCATATCAAAATCTTTCCTTCAGTCATCCAACTTGAAGCATTCAGATATGTAAAATTAGAATGAGAATGATTTGGTTTGAAAGGGACCGCGAACCAAACATATAAAAGGTACTCTACACTCCAGTCAGCTCTGCACTCCGCTGTATGCAGGCATGCAGCTGTTCTGCTGATGTTTTAAGCTGACTCAACATAAATGTGGCATTTTGTGTATAGCAGAGGTCTTTGGTCTTTCTTTCAGTGCTGTGTTGTTTCTTTTTTTTTTTTTTTTTCAATGAGCAGTTATACAGTCACCCAAGAGTTTACAAGAGGAAGACACTCATCCTCATCTCTATGATTTTAGCCTTGTGTGTGTTGGTTCTGTGTGACATGCACAGCAGGAAACTAAACACCGTGCGATGCTATTGCTGCAGAGAATCACAGAGGTGACTATAGCTCAGTTCTGTGAAGGTATCTAAATATTGTATCTGCTTAAACAGGAGCCAAATACTTTTGGGAATTTGTGGAATATTCTCAGTCCATCCTATTGCTTTTTTCTTCCTTGTTTTGGTTTGGTTGTTTTTTTTTGTTGTTGTTTCTTTTTTCTGCTTTCTCTTCCTCAGCTCTCATGTAAAACAGAGAATGCAGATTTTGTTTAGCACTTCTTCCTGTGTGTGCCGTATCTGTAGGATCAA